TTTTGCAGACACAACAGTATATAGAATAGACTTCTTCTCCAATCTCCTCTAAGACTAGTAAGGCTAGAGCTAAAACACTGGGTTTTGTGTGTTTATACCCTACATAGACAGTGCCAAACATGTACTGTAAAATAATTTTTCTTTTTTTTTTTACTTTTAACAAACAACCATTGACTGAACAAAACGCAAATCTCAAGAAAAAGGAAAAAAAAATATCATGTGTTACATCAGAAATCTAAATAAATCAGAATTTTTGCATATAAAAATTGTACACAAATACGAAAAGATATACGTTTTCTGTACCTGTTTTACTCTGTGTCCCTTTCTCTTTTTCTTTCTTTTCTCACTCTGCTTGGTGATATAACAATATAGTGTTTTGGTGGGGTGGGTAATGTATATATAGTGTATGTATAGATTGTGTTCATGTATGTGTAAATTGTGTGTATGTATGTATTTATGGTATTAAATAAATAAGGAAGTGAAATATTAATTATTGTTACTTAATATTGTCTACCAAATATGAATACCTGATGAGCTGGAAACGGACATTCATGTGGCATGACCATACCCATATTTCATGTCATGCTTATCATGCCATACCATGGTTGGTAAAAAATAAAATACTCCACAGCTGGCAAAATAAACACTCGAACATCGGTTGAAAATTACGTGCCAATTAAAAAGATTATTTTATGGCGCGTGCGAACACGCGGTAGTGATTTGAGTGGGCTTTATGTGCAAGGTAGATTAATGCCGCGATTCGTCAACGTACTGAATGGGCGTTTCATCCTGATAATCGTTTACAGCTAATTTTAAGAGTGGACGATTATAGAGGCGTAGTTGTTTTGAAATTACATTTCTACCACTCAAGTGGTTACGTAACTAGCATACTCTTTTTTTCTTTTTTTTTCTTTTTTTTTTCTGAAAAATGCTAAAGATCCAGGGATAAAATCCCGGGATTCCGTCCACCTCGACCCCTGATGTAAAAGCGACGGGTCCCGCGTGTGTGAAGATCCAGGGTCGAGACCCGAGATTTTATCCCAGGATCTTAAGCATAACTCTTTTTTTATTTAGATTTTTTTGACCTTTTTCCTTGCTTTGTTTCCTTGGTTTCGTGATTTTAATAAATCCCATAAATCAAGGGGATGAGTTGCACCAAACTCTTTTGGAATTATATTTAAGTGAGATTTTTTTCCAAAGTGGTTATATAATGAAAATTTAATAGAATTTAAGTCCAATTCAATTATGTGCAATATTAAATGCATGATTGTTATATAATACTCTAGAAAATTAAACAGTATAACCGACTTAATTTTAGAAGTAAAGTCCAATTTAATTATGGATGGTATATATTTATTGTATTATAATTATAAAGTAGGTAAAAAAGATTGAACAACCTTGTAAAAAAAAAAAAAAGAACAAGATTAAACAATTATACCATTATAATTTTGGGAAATTAGTACAAAACATCCTCATGGTTTGTACTCACTGTAAAAGTCATCCCTATCATTTCAAATTTAGCATTTGCTCCCTTATTCCAACATTTTCTTGTAGCGTTGCTCCTTTTTCGTCACATGCCTTCAATTCCTTTCGTCTAATATAGTTAATGTTCCTATTCTTTTGTCTTGATTGGGCAAATCGTCCATATCACTTTAATTTTGACTTTTGAGTCCTCATAAATGTTGTCACCCAAAATTAGTAGGAAAAAAATCAAGTAGGCTCTAAGATGAGATTTTTGTTTTTCAACCTCTGTTTAGATCAACTATAAAATATACATATTTGATGAACATGGACGATGGATATTGATGCCAAGGGTTGACTGTTGAAGAGTTATAAGGTAATTTATGGTTTTTGTTTTTCAAGCTCGGGTTTCGATCAACTTTGTATTCTAACCTTAAACAAATTAATTTTACAAATTTGATGCATAAGGATAATGGATGTTAATGAAATGCTTGAATGTATAAGAGTCATAAATGAGCTAAGATGAGATTTTTTTTTATTTTTTTATTTTTTCAACAGTTCACATGTAGATTGACTCGGTAATCTTACCTTGATAATAGCGGTTGACGTTTTAACCCAAACTCAACCTATCGAAACAAACCGGTAAACGACTGGGTTCGATACTATTCTTTATTATTGAATTTGGAACCATGGATACCTAACTTTGAAACCGATTTATCAGTTTTTTTTTTCCCAATTTACTCACCCCTACCCAAGTCCAACTTAACAATTAACATGTTTGCACGGCCTGAGTTGCAATTGTTCTAATCACTCTAGTTCGTATTCGCAGCCCAAACTACAAATCTTTGTCGAGGCACTACACATATAGATATAGCTATCATTGAATTCATATGCTTTATATTTGATGTTATTTGGTGGCATATTTGCATTGAATTAAGAAAGTGTTGAAATATATATTTGATGACATTTTTATTTTTTTATTTTTATTTCTGTTAAATATTAGGAAGATCATTTGTATTGTCAACCCACCTTATATATATATAATGGACGATTCGAGTTCTATTCCAATAATTATCCGAATATGAATTGTTCCATTTATGAAATACTCAGAGTGTAATGGGTGATTGAAGGTATCGAAACATTTGGACCTACTCACTCGACGTCAAGGCATGATTGACAATCATTTTATGAACTTGAAGAATAAGGACAACCGACAATGGATATTAATGCAAATGCTTGATTGGGGTACTTTTAAAATTAACCTGGTCAAATCATTTAAATTTCACATTGACTTCTCAACAAAGGGATATTATGAAAATGGCCTATCCAATGTTAAAAGACAAAAATACCTTTAAATACATTATATAATTACAAAAATTAGTTTTTTTAAAAGACATGAATACCCTTTCATTTAACAAATAAAAATCAAACACTTCCTACATTTCTTATCTGTTTACTCCAACACAGATAAATAAAACACTCTCATCCTTCATCTGCTTCAACTGCAGAAACTTAAAAATTTATCGAAATAGGAAGTCGAAAAATTTGTGAACATCAATCTCGTCGGTTCGGTAAGTTTATATACGCAAATTTAATCTTGTTTTCATTAAATTATTGTATGTTTAAATAGATAAATTGTATTTCGACATTTAATGATTAGTAGAAAAAAATGTAATAGATCTGTAATTTTTTAAGTATTTGATTGGAAAAAATTAATCTGCATATTTATGCCAGCGCCGGTAAATTGACTGTTTGACCGAATGTTAAACAGCCAGTTTAAACAGTCGGCTGTTTGCCAACTGTTTTCTTTTTTCTCTCTTTTTTGGGTTATTTTTATTGCTGTTGATATTTTTCTTGTAATTAAAAATTCTGTTTCGACATGCAGATATGGTTGTAGTCCCAGTTTGTTACTTTGGTGATTTCGAATTGGACGAAAGATATCAATGGATATGAAAATGGACAGGTGATAAACGTGATGGTATCGCAATGTTCATATCATTAGGTATATCGTATGCAGAACTCTATAATGATTTACAGAACAAGTTGAATGTTGATCCTTCTCAGTACAACATGGAATTGAAATTTAAATTCAGTGAGCATGCATCAATTTCGATTCCACCTATAATGATTTCTTCTGTTGATGAAGTGAATTATCTGATTGAATTGAACAATAAGCACACGACTCCTTTTTGCGTGACTTTAGTAGATTTGGGAGGTGGGGATCATAATTCTAATAATTTTTGGGATACGATGGAGTTAGCTCATGAAAATGATGTGGTTATTCCAGAGATAGTTGCACACAAAATCCCCTCCGCTGTTCGTGACAACGAGAATAAAAATGTAAATACTTTTAAAAACGAGAACTTGATTGCTTTATCCCGACAGAGACATGAGTGGGGTGGCACCTCGGGGGCAGATCGAGTGGACCGTCCTCTAACTCCTCACGTGTGGTTCCTGATAATGAGGATTTGTATGTCGAGTAACTGTTTGAAACGAAGAAAGATTTGCAAGAAGCCGTGCACCTAATTGCACTGAAATACAACTTCGAGTTTAGAGTGAAAAAATCGAATAGGTCGTTGTTGACGCTATTGTGTGTAGACGATAGTTGCAGTTGGCGTTTGCGAGCAACGAAGATGAACACGAATGAGTGCTTCGTAATTCGCAAATATACACGAGAACATACTTGTGAAGTGGGAGTTTGTCGCAATGATCACAGGCAAGCCCGAGCTTGATTTATTGGTCGACGGATAATGCACAAGTATCAGGATCCACGGACAATCTACAAACCATCGGATATTATTAACGATGTTCGTCGAGAGTACAGAGTAGTCATGAGCTACCATAAGGCCTGGAAGGCTAAAGAATGCGCATTGGAGGATTTAATGGGCTCGGCAGAGGAAAGTTATGCTAAATTAGTTAAGTATTGCCATAACATGGAGATAACTAATCCTGGCTCGGTATTTTTTATTGAGACGGAGGCCGATAACTACTTCAAATTCTTCTTTACGGCTCCTGGACGATGCATTCGGGGATTTTGAAATGTTATGCGACCCCTAATTCTAGTCGACAGTACAACTCTGAAATCCAAATACCAAGGTAAGTTAATTATTGTTACATGCCAAGATACCAACATTCAAATTTATCCTCTTGTATTCGACATAGTTGATAACGAGAATGATCTGTTGATACGTTGGTTCTTCGCAAAGCTCAGGAAAGTAATCGAAGAAGTCGAGGACCTTGCATTTGTCATTGATCAGAGACAGTCTCTAATAAATGGTATTGCTGAAGTTTTTCCCGATGCACATCATGAATATTACATGTACCATATACAAGGCAACTTGAAGACCAGGTATCGGGGCAAAGGCATCGTTTCATTATTTAGGAGAGTGGCCGAAGCTTACAGTATTGAAGAGTGTAATAGGTACATGATTGAAATAGGAAGCAAATCATTCCCAGCATGAGACTATCTAACAAAAATGGGATTGAACATTGGGTGCGCTCATATTTTCCAGGACGTCGATACAACTTGATGATGTTAAACAACGCGGAGTCTCTCAATGCATTATTTAAGAGGGATCGAGAGTTACCCATTCTCACACTGATTGAGAATATCAGTACGAAACTGCAGCAGTGATTTCACGATCGGCGTGCGGAATCACGTAATTGCACAAGCGTGCTAGCCCCAGCACAAGAGGTAAAACTCTTCAAAACTGCGAGAAAATTAAATGTCGAACCATTAGAGGAGTCGCGCTTCTCTATGGAATGTACACGTCATACGGCATATATAGTATATTTAAGTGATGGAACATGCACTCGTAAACAATTTGAGTTAGAGAGTTTTTCATGGGAGCATGCAGTTGTGGTGGCTATGTATCGAGGATTTGCAGCGAGAACATTGTGCTCTCCTTATTACACTGCTGAAAATTGGAGAGCTGCGTATGTTGAAACCATATTTTCGTTTCCAAACGAAGCCGAGTGGGAAGTTCCCGATCATATTCACTTGTTCAATACATTGTCGCCACCTCTCATTGAACCACATAGTCCTGGACATCCAAATACTTCTAGAATACCATCTACTGGAGAGTTTTCCCGACCGCGTAGGTGTAGCAGGTGCAAAACAGTAGGACATACTCGCCAATTTTGTATAAGTCAGGTTCCCTTAAATGACAGTCAGAGCATTGTGTATTTCCATTGAATTGAAAAGTATTTACATTGAAATGAATAGTATTTACAATGAAATGAATAATATTTTGTATTGAAATAAACAGTATTTACATGAATAATTACAAATAATCACAAAAAATAATTACAAATATTAATTATAAAAAATATTTACAAATAATTTATGGATCACAATTAAATTCGTATAAATCACACGCTAACTTATTTCGTCAATTCTGTATCCATGACTGGTTGATTTCATCAACGTTATGTGCTATACTAAAAAACTCTATGTATTTCATTGCGAAAATCCCACAGCCGCCCCTGCAAATGAACAAATATGTGTTAGTTTGGTTCCAATTACGTATGAACTGATTACTAATTTAAAAAAAAAAGATTACAAAAACTTACGATATATACTGTTTCGTCGTCGTCGTGTTCCGCACGATGGTTAGTTTGTCATCCACAGTCAAACTCGCATATCTAGCTATCAAAGGAACGATCACAGTCACCGGCTCTAAGATCTGCTCGAGCTGTCCCTGTGTCAGACATGAATGATCGGAGTTGTACACATATATCGTCGAATCAGGGAACATGATATCTAGTGCAATGCGTGCTAATTCGCGATAACTGGAATGTACAAATGCGTGCAACCCTCCCTTGGTCCGATTTTCGATACTAGAACTTTCTTTTTCTTCTTCTCTCTCTCTCTCTCTCTCTCTCTTTTTTGCTGCACATATTTAAGAAAATGACCAACAATGTTATCGAATCTGACTTTTTTTTTTTGGGTTAACATTTGCAGTTTTATACTGTGTGAAAATTGTTTTCTACTGTTTCGATGATTCCTCTCTCGTCACTTTTCAATCTATTTATTTACCTATTGCTGTGTAACTACAATCTCTAAATATTAGAGTTCTAAAAGGCGCCGTCTAGGCACAACGCGCGATGAAAACGTCAAATTAAGTGGCTTGACACTTTATCTAGCGGTCAACGGCAATTGTTAACCGCTAATGTGCTTCTAGATGTGATTATGCTCGCCTAGGCATGCATTATTATCTTTTTTTTTAATTTTTTTTTTACAATTCTTTTAAGTTAAAATTTAAAAACTGATTTCTTTATTTTATCTGCCCTAGATTCAAAACAATTACTTGAAACCTTGAATAAAGGAAAACTTTCAAAAATTCTTATCTATTTACTAGTTAGTATTTACATTTGAAACTTATCGTTTTGTTGGAAACTCTAAAAAAATGTATAAAGTTCCTATAAATCTATTTTAGATGTTTGATAGCTATTATTTTTAATTATTAAATAATTTTTGATTGATTAAAAATTAAAATAACATTAAAATAAGAAAACCCCCTTTTTTTATGCTTTTTTTTTTTTTTTTTACCCTTATGCCTCATTTAGCCCATAATTTGACCTCCACATATCACCATGCTTTACACCTTTTAAAACACTACCAAATTTACAAAAGAATCTATTGACATGAGACAGTATTTTAGAGAAAAAAAAATCGAATTTATTATAACAAAATACATGCGCTTTGATTTATTTGTCATGGATCTTAATGAAATTGTTTTTCAATTGGAGGACATAATTAGGATTTTGCATGCAAAAGATTATGTTCCCTAGTTTTATCATGCAAAATTCAGAAAGTCAACTTTAAGCAACTATGCATGATCAGATATATACCTAATCTCCACTACCCCTTTTTAAGTATATTAATATATTTTTATAAAGTAATTTAGGGGCAAATCATTTTTTTTTTAAAATGAGAAATATAATCACCTAATTAATGGTTGGAAATAATTTTTTTATGGGATTCGAATTTTAAGATCCTCGAGTGTTATTAATCATGCGATTAAATAAATTTATACTTAATCGACATATTTGGTACAGTCACCTAATCGACACTCAAATAACAAAAAGATGTTAAATTTATAAATTCGATGGCTAGTCATGCAAAGTACCGAAAACTGAGCGTACATCCTATATATATATATAACTCTTAGCCAAGTTCCACATGAAGCAAGATTTTCCAAAGTGATCAATTGCCTGTCCAGGATCAAAATGTACAAATTTTTATTTGTAGTACAAGAGTGCACCGGTAATTGCTGATAATGTTTAATTATTTATTTGATTAAGATTAACAAACCAAATGTACATGAAATATTATGCATCACAGAGAAAATTAAATGAATATTGTTACATAGTATATGAGTAACATGAGATTAAATATAACATAATTTTTTGTCATTTCGAGATATAATAATGATATGGTAGACTACATGCCAATACATCCACCAGCAAAATTTTTAAAATTATTTATTAATGGTTACATTTATTTTCAATTATACATTTCAATGGATTCCGAAGTGCTATTTGCTGACTGACTGTCACTCATTTTTACCTATTTAATTATAAATTAAACTATTTATAAATTCTTTCTAAACGGATAATAAGTTTTAACGTGTCATATATTATGAAAATTGAGAGAGATAAAAATAGATGGATAGCGATTTTTTGTTACTTTTTTTGTAAATTTTTAATTTTATTATATAGTCCTACTATTTACGTGTTTTACTAGTAGAAAGACGAATGTTAACTTTTAGTACGTGTTTTCTATTTTTCTTTGTTGAATTCCTGTTTTATTGGGGTGCAAGTAACGTACAATGACTGGAGTTGAAAAACAATCCCACCATTTTTCTCTCTTGGTCTAAATCTCCATTAGAATATCTTCAATCGGTATGTAAGATAAATCTAAATTATAATTCTAAAGTGGTCGAAAATATCTTTAATGAAGAAATGTAAATTGCATTTTTCTAAAAAAAAAAAAAAATGTAAAAAAATAATATAAATTTACATATTTTTTATATTCATAAGAGGCGGAAAGAGGGAGGAGGGGACATTGACACGTGATCAAATCAGTAATGTGCCTCTGTCCGTTACCCATACCCCATTCAGTAGCTACAGTCTACACTGCCACTAAGATTAAGATACTCTCACGCACACATATTAATAAATCAATAAAATCAAGGGATCTCACATAGGATTACTTCGGAATGAATATACCGCCACACATACATGCATGCATTTAAAGTGTAATATTTTACGCCATCTCATGGATCAACAATATACACATACATACATGCTCGTGTGGTTTCGACATCATCTCGAAAAATTATGCTCGTATTGAACTCTTAATCAAAACATGTGAAATATTGTGTCGCTTTTAATTGAATACAAGACTCGTCTCTAAGAATAACTCAAACTTTTGCTTTAGACGTTTTTCTTCGATTGAAATAATGGAATATGAGTTTGAGAAAGCGTTGATCATTTTAAGCACCCTTCTGTCATTCGTATTTAATAAAAATGAGTTTTGAAATATTAAGTTTGTGAAGAATGTGTGATTTAAAAAAAAAAAAAAAAAGAAAGATTTATGCGCAAAATATTATATGATAAGAATGTGTATTTAAAAAAGAAAAAAAGAAAAATTGAAATAATAATAGGTAAACATGGGATAAATGAAATTCGTTTTCATATGATAAAACATAGTAACATTATTGTTGGAAGTGATGGGATCAAAGAGGACAAGTGGGCTACGGAAGTAGAGGTGAGTGGACCTCGGTTGCTTCATCTTCCCGCCAAAGGTGGAAATGTGGAGCCCACAGACACTGTTTTTCCCGCCAATTTGCAGGGTAAAATCCAAAGGGATGGTGACACATGTCCAGCTAATAGGAAAAAGTACGGTCTTAGTTATTGGGTGGCATTGATAAGCCGAGACCCATGCGGACATTTCCAATATTTTTACTGATATGTTAGAGACGTTGATTGGCCCACGCCACCATTTTGGGGGCGGCTCACATGATATGTAAACACCGTCAGTAATCGAGTAGATGTAGACTAACATCAAGATTTTAAAATGCATAATACAAATATATTTCGATCGAACATTATAAGCATCATGCGTTGGTAAAACTAGAGAAAGAACGAAGAAGAAGGAGGCTCGGACTCAACGTAGATAGTTTACAACTCTATGAAAAATTTATTTTGATTTTTTTTAAACGTCAAAATTTTACAAATGGCTATGTATAATTCATGGGTTTGCATGATTTGAGCTATATATATAATTATGACACAATATTTTAACACAAATACACGTGCATTTGTTGTTTAAGCGTACATATGCAATACCATATTATCACGCACATGTCTCATAAGCAAAACGTTTTGAAAATATACCGAACATATAAGGACACCGCTAAATACATAATTTATTTATAGTAATTATACTTAAAAGATCTATAATTTTTATTGTTTTTAGTTATAAATTTTAGTATTTAATGATTGGGCAGAGTTATAGAAGACATTCATCCACTCTGACAAGAGATTAGAGTTACCAAGTGCAATTATGGTGGAGCCAAAACTGGATTCTTCTTTGTGTTTGGCAGCACTACTGTCATGTTCGTAATGAAATGTATGTTCATCAAATCACAAGATTGAACAAAAGAAAAGAAAAGAAATGAAAACAAGAAAGAAGGAGTCTTTTGCAATTGACAAATGACAAGTTGTTACTTCGTACGTATTTTAATTAAATTGAATATAATATAATTTACATTAAATTAGATAGTAGTGACAAAGACAACGTACAAAAATCTTATTAAGCCCTTGTTTGAGTTCTATTTTTTCATCAAAATACATTTATTATAGTGGTTTGATATCATTTCAATCACATTTTTTAATAAAATAATATTGCAAGCAAATTTAAAACTTTTTCTCATTTTTAACCACACATTTTTCATCACAACATTATTTCAAAATGTATTTCTTGAAAAAAAAAAAAAAAAAAAGGGACTCAAACAACCCCTAAATGTTGACACCTACTTGGCACAATAAAATCCACTTAAAATGGTGTGGTAATGACCAATAATGGCGGACGGAGGGGTTGGCTTGGGATTAGCCCATTTTATTTTTGTTTACGATTTTACATATTAGTTCGGTACTTGATTCACCCCTTATTATTAGTGTATACTT